CTGACTAAAAGTAAATATTACTTGGAGAATGGTTTGAAAATTTATGAAGACGTTTTAGATGAAAATTGGAAATATTATGATGAGGGTGGATTATGTGGTGAATGGGTTAGAACTAAGGATTGTAAAGATAAAGGAAATGTTATACTTTATTTTTTTGGTGGCGGTTATTATATGGGTTGTAGTAAACAAGCTCGCTCTCTTACTTGTGAAATTACTGAAAAGGCTGAATGCCCCGTTTTTAGTATGATTTCCTTTATTTCTATTACTTTTTTGTTAAAAAAATTATATTTATTAAATTTATTATTATTATTATTTTTTTATATTTGATTATTTAGCATTTGACTATCGTCTTGGTCCAAAATATCAATTTCCTGCTCAACTATGTGATGCTGTAGCTGCTTATTTATATCTTATTAATCCTGGTCCAGACTCAGGCTTTGAACCAATTGATCCTAAAAAAATTATATTTGCTGGATCTAGTGCTGGCGGTGGATTGGCCATGGGTACTGCGGTATTTATTCGTGATGTTGGTTTACCATCACCTGCTGGAATTGTTTTATGGGTATTTATAATTAAATTATTTATTTAACGCATTTTAACAAATTAATATCTTACCTTTATTAATATCTCGCTTTATTAATAAATTTTTAAAAAGTCTCCTTGGGTAGATTTAACATCTAGCATGCCATCATTCTGGAACCATGATATGGATAAAACTGATCATGTTCCTAGAAAGTTAATCTTTCCTAAGCTCGGTCCACCATGTCCCATGTCAATTGAATATCTTGAACGTGTTAAAATTGTTTCGGAAAGAATTAAACAAAAAAAGCCAAAAGTGGTCGGTCATTCTTCTTTTACTAAATTTCCAAGAATTAGAATGTATTGTGCGAATGAAGCTTTGGCTATCCCTTATGTTAGTCCAATGTTGGCTGAGAGTTTGGGAAATTTACCTCCTATTTTAATGGTAAATAATTATTTTTTTTATCATTAAGAAATTTTTAATTATAAATGACGCTAATAATTGATTATAATAGCAAGTAGGTGGTGGTGATAGGTTACGAGATGCTGGAGTTTTGTTAAGCTTTAGAGCCTCAGATCCTTGCAAATATCAAGTACCCAAATTTGCTACTGAAAATTTTGAAAATTCTCCATTTAAGAAACCAACAGAAGTTACACTTGAAGTTTATGATGAAGCTTGTCACTGTGTTCAGGTATTTTATATTTTATTAATTTAATTTTATATAACTTAGGTTTTTTATTTTATTTTCTATTAATTCAATATTAAAAATATTTATTTTGTCAATTAGTTTATGCCTTTTGAAAAAATTGCTCAGTTTTCAATGCAAAGGGCTGTTGATTTCATTAAATATCATACACTTGAAAAAGATGGTTCTAATTCTGTTCAGACAACTATTAATGCAATTGCAATTAGTCCTGATTGCGAAATTAGAGAATTAGATGAGGAATATAAGGATTGTTTAAAGTATGAAAATATTGGTGCATTACTAGATGAGGAAGAATAGAAAATAAACAGTGATTCGAATCAATTTCTATCTGATCATATTTTGCTCGTCAACAAATATTATTTATTATTGCATTTAAATATAAAACAAGTGTTTTAAGTAATCATCATTATACGTAATAGTTTTTTTTTTTATTTTCGAAAATTCAACAAATTATAACTTATCTCATTATAAAAACTCTCAATATAGTGAATATTTCGATATAGTAACTTATTAACTCTTTATAATAAAGTTTCTTAATATACTGTAAAAATTTTTCTTATTCAGATAACTTCACTGTGACGAGAGTGACATATATTCATTTATTAATAAGAATATTATTAAAGAATTAATTTAAAAATTTTTATAATTATTAAAGTTTACAGTATATTAGAAGATTTTGACAATTTTCTATCTTTGTTGTCATCAATTGAACCAAGTCTTTATTATGTCTGAAATAATAGATTTGCCGTATATTAATAAAAATTTGGTTGCAGCAAAATTTAAAGTTTTTGTATTAGATAAATTATTCCAAGAACGCTCCAATTTTTTTTTTGATTAATTTTATTGATTTTACATATGAGAAAAATAAGAAAGATAAAAAAAATAAAAAAGATAATTTGGATCCTTTCTATCTGAAGGATAAAATCGATCCTCCAGATCATTTTTATTGTAAGACGTGAAAGTTACTCCGGAGACACGTGAGGGTCGGAGGCTAATGTTCCGCAGTATCTGCATACGGTGTAAACGGCAAATCTGCCCCCGGAGCTACCGCAGCCAAATGTGGTACCACTTCCGATTTCTCCGATTTTTCTGTTTTATTCGATTTTCCTGTTTTTATCGATTATCATTATTTAAGATATTGTGCCGATTTATAAAATAATACCGATCTACAAAAAAGACAAACAATATGATTAGCAAAATAACGTCAAACGAACAATTCGATAGTATTTTAATAATAGGAACGATACAGTAGTTTTATTTTATTTTATTTCTTTTAACCTGTTTATTTTATATATAAATTTATCTATATAAGCAACAAAAATTACCTTTTAATAAAATCATGGCAAAATGGAGAATAAATGCTTTCGCATGATAACTTCTTCCTTGATCTCGAGTTTGAGACAATTCGAAAACCCTTAAATAACTCCCAACTACTACAATTATTTATCCTCAATTACCCTCCCCCCCTCGATAATAATGAAACTACACTATAAGTCAAGTAATTACCTCTTGACTTATTAGAAATCAGGATTAAGAAAACATACTATGTAACCCCAAAGACTAACCAACTCAGATAATTCAAGAAGAGTCCTAAAACCTGAACCAAATCTTCTATGTTCTCTTTTGAAGCCTTTTATTTAAGGTGAAATTAGATTGTAGTTGTTATAGTTAGACCTAATCCATCATGTGATACATATTCTGATCAAGTCCTAACCAAGAACTAGTCTCAACTTTTTCAACAGTGTAAAGATCTAATTTGACCCTCTGGAAATATTGCACTTCAACATGGTATAATGTCCTATTTTTAGTTTTAGAATCTTGTTTATTCTTTTTATATGTAGTATATCTTAGACATGTATGATAGTCTTATCTCGAAATCTGTAAAAGATCATTATTTACCTTAATTAGATTAGCTGATATTCACGATGTGACATATGTGATATTTATAGAATTTATAGCAGATATGTCATATCTGGCACATATGGTATATATGTCATATCTGATATATTGGATATATATTAAATATATCCCAAATATATCTACTAGTATTGCAGAAAGTATAAAAGTGATACCTCATTCCCTTAAACTCAACTCAGCTTACTATGAGTTTAATAAAAAACCAATCCCAAGTTTAAAGAATAAATCTCTTCCCATAGTAACTCGATATCATATTCATTAATCTATAATTACCTCCTAATTATATACAAACTAACCTTAACCTTGATAAATCCTGACCAAATTCTCTATGCTTTTTTTTGCCTTCTACTATTAGGATTATAGTTAGTTTAGTGGTAGGTTATAGAAAGATTAGTATGAGACTATTGTTTTGACCTACTCTCAAACCTCGGACTCCTATTCTGTTCTTAACATTTTGTGATGACTGTGAGATTCGCAATGCCCAGAACCAATCTGTGAGATTTGATATAACTCTAACCAAGGCCCAACTTATGGAAAATAAGATAGGAATTAGCAAGGATATTCCTAAAGATATTAAGAAGCCAAAGGACCAACAAAAATATTAGTCTATTGCTAATATTTTAGAAGGTAAAAATTAGCAAGAAAATGAAGTCTTTGCTATCTCAATTAAAGTGTTAAAATATATGAAACTGAGCAGAAATTGATAGCAAAAATTAAACTACTGTAGAACAATCAGGCAATATAGTGAAACATTCCACATATACAATCACTCAACTATCAGAGACCACTATGCTTTAAAGAAGTTAGATTTCTGTAGTGCCTTATATGTAATCCAATACTATGGTTACAACTTAGTAGCTAACATACTCTGTAACTTGTTGGTATTGTAAGAACAGATTATCAAAGGAGCCCATTAAGAAGTCATCTGCTATGAATTAATAAAAGAATTTGAAATTGACTCTAGAATAGAAGAGAAGATTGTTAGTACTAAATATGCCTACTAATTCTTAACCTAGAATATTTAATGAATTCATAACTTTGAAATAAGCTAGTCCAACCCTAAATCTGATGGTAAACAAAATCTAGTTTAGGTTGTTAGTATCCAAGCATTAACCTCTAGAGAAAATAAATTAAAAAGTTTAAATTAGCAAAATTCAAAAAAAAAAAAAAAAAAAAATTTGAATTGAACTTATAAAAGAAGATTAGTATTATATTATACTGCACTAGGTCATATCTTATCCTTGTGATAAGAAGGAATCACATTACTAAAAATAGAAGGTACTAAAAATCATAATACTAATGTAAGATTCTTAGACTGTAGGATTGTTCATATAATGTCTTTTAGTATAGTAGAAATTAAACTAAGATGAAAATTTGAAAGGAAATAAAGAAGGAAATATCTACATTAACTGCTAGATAAGTCTTGAGAGAAGCTCCAGAGTAATGTCAAAATATATCTCATTCAAGTTTGAAACTTACAATAGAAGAAGTGAAATATGAACCTTAAGAACCTAAGAATTTATATATGTGAAATATATAAATTAATCAGGGAGAATTGTAAAGATCTAATTTGACCCTCCAAAAATACTACACTTCGATATAATATGATATCCTATTTTTAGTTTTAGAATCTTGTTTAGCCTTTTTATATATAGTATATCTTAAATATATATAATAGTCTTATCTCGAAACTAGTAAAAGATTATTATTTACCTTAATTAGATTAGCTGATGTTTATGATATGATATATATAACATTTATAGAATTTATAGCAGATATGTCATATCTGGCATATATGGCATATATGTCATATCTTACATATTAGACATATATTGAATATATTCCAAATATATCACTAGTATCGCAGAAAGTGTAAAAGCAATATCTTATTTTCTTAAACTTCAACTTAGCTCATTGCAAATTCAATAAAAAACTAATCCCAAGTTTAAAGAATAAATCTCTCTCCATAATAACCTGATATCACATTTGTTAATCTACAATTACCTCCTCTAATTATATACAAACTGACCTTAACTCTAGTAAACCTGGACCAAATTCTTTATGCCCTCTTTCTGCTTTCTACTATTAGGCTACAGTTAGTTTAGTGGTAGGTTGTAGAGAGATTAGTGTGAGACTAGTATTTCAACCTACTCTCAGACTCCAGACTTCTATTCTGCTCTTAATAACAGATATGCAGATCTCTTACCTTTAATAGGTTTTCTAGGGATAAAAGAGTTAAAAGTCTTATAAGTATTAAAAGAGTTATAAGAGTTTTAATATATATAAGAGTTAAAAGAGAAAAAAGACTTAAAAGAGTTTAAAGAGTTTTAAGTATTATAAGATATTTAATAGTTAAAATATGTTTAAGTATTAAAAGAGTTATAAGAAACATATTGATGTAAATTGTATATATTGAGAGTATATTTGCTCATAATAAAGAATAACTCTTTATAGTTTTGCTTTTAAAACTGAGTTCTTTATTAAAATAATTGATCTCCAATACATAAACTCCAAATACATAATAATTTCACAAAACTAACTCACTCCATAACCTGCTCTTATTAAATTGATATACAGTATATTTACTATTGTCTTGCATACATAGTATATTGTCTAATTAAATCTTGACATACTAAAATTAACTGTAGTCTTCAATTCTAACTAACCTGATATATTGTAATTAGTTGTAGTTATTTATTTTGGTTCCAGTTACTTAATACACTGTGGTAACTATGGTTTTAAATATTAGAATACCCAAAGAACTATAGTATTCATATTCTTTAAAATTTAAACCCTTTGAGTAGTCTGCCTCTATCAAGTAGAAGGTTGCTATTAGTAGTATACTCAAATATTAGAAGATTAAAAAATAACTAAATCACTAACCTATAAGTCTAAACCACTAACCAAATATAAACACTCTCTTTTGACAAGCTATTCATAGGTTATAAGGAGTTTTCTATAGCTAAGCAACTGACTCATCATATAAATCTAATCATTTTAATATATTGTACTAATTTTATACAATATTTATATCTAATGTTGTCGACCTAAAAATTTGCTTTTACATTACAGTATAAAAATTGTACTATAATGTGCTAGCATACAGAAAATCGATTCTATTCTGAACACTTTTTTAGACAATACCTATAATAACTGAAAAACTTTTTTATAGAGTTGAAAAGTTGAATTAGTAAAAAATAAAAAATAATAACTCTAAATTCTTAATATATATGCTTACTTGATTTATTTTATTTTTATTATTATCATTTATTATTATTACATTACCTATATTGTTTTATTTCTTTATTTTACATATTCATAGAGTAATAGCTTTTGCAAAAAGAGAATATAGTTCTAGTGCTTAAATTCAGATAATTAGA